TGCAATAAAACATTTTATTTACTGTATTTATTTAAGGCTCAGTAAGCAGAGCCCCTTCTAACTTTGTTTGGGTCCTATGCAAATTAGTGCTTATAAGAAGCAGTATTTGATACAATTGTGGATTTTTAATGCTTTGTTTTTCTCTAAGTAATCTTAGGAGATAAAAGGAATTTTATGTAATGGATGTTGCATTGTCACAGTTTGAAAAATCTGAAAAAATTACCCAATTTCTTCTCAAATTAAGCTAAGCTTTCAGTCCTCCTTGTGAATGTGGGGGTCTCTTTACTTGTGTAGTATCTTTATAGCTACAAACAGCTCTGGCAGTAAGCCTTTGTAGGCATTAAGAATGTAATCACAAAAGCACACATATTTTTAATATAAAGAATGGCTTATTCTTAGATAGTAGAAGCCTCAGAAACATTCTGAATTTTTAGTAGTCTCTGAGAGCTAAATTTAGTGTGAACTTTATTTTACCTGAAGAAAAGCATGCTGGATATTCGGACAGTATATGAATTTTGTGAGTTCTTTAATATACCATTTCTTTTTATACCAGCAGGTTAACAGTTGGCCCTGGACACTATAGACACATACAGATACTTTGCAGTGACATCTTGCTGGGTGTGTTCTATAAGATAGATCACAATTTACAATTATTCACACTTACACCATAACCACTGTGACAACAACTGTAAAAATCTTTCATTTTCTTTCTACCTCATTGTGTAATATGCCACTTTTATGAAATCAAACATTTTGAGCCACATGAGTGAATCACTTTTTTTTTGAAGGATTTCTGAATAGACAGAATTAAGTAACATACTGTTGTTTCTAATATTGTTACTGGTATAATTGAGAGACTTTTTAAACTTGTGCCCTCTAGAATGTATGATGAATTCAAAATAAACCTGAATATTGGCAGTTACGGTATGTTACTGTAGAGTAGCATTATAAAAAAACAGCTGTATAATGTGCATGCTCTGTGTGGGTCTTGGGTTAATGGATTTAAAGCTTGTTCACTGTTCACTGACCTGTGTATTATAAATTTCCATTGGGCAGTGCACAACAATTTCATGGAGTACCAGCTCACCTTTTTCTTTCATGGCCTTCTGCCCTTGTGTTGTATGATGCTATGTTGATGATATTCATATTTTAAACCTCAAGTGGAGTTCAAATAGCTGCAAGCTTTTCTTACTGCTCTTACTGATATTCTGTCTAGTAGCCCACCAAAATCTTTCTACTTTTCTCCAGGCTGTCAGACCTGGGTAATGTGTGTTTGAAAACGTTGCCCTTGAAAAGAAATCTTGGGTTATTCAGTACTAACAGTAAAAGAAAACTAAGTGATTTTAAAGTCCAGTATGTAGACAGCAGTAAGCAAGGTCAGATTAATGCTTCACCAAGACCCTCACTACCCTGAAACTGGTGCTTGTTGTATATAGTTAAACTAAAACCTCTCGGCCGTATCACGAGTCATGCCTCTGTAGTCAACAATTAGTGTTCTTAATGAATCTAACAGGCTCACTGTTCCAGATGAGCTCTTCAAAGCCACACATTCAGAAGACTGAGGTCAAATACATGTCTGTGTTCTGCTGTAATACTCCAGTGCAGATCACTCACTGTGTAAACAGACTCATAACTTGAACATATTAAAAAGCACATAGTCAAAAATAACACAGCCACATATTCCTCGTGGAGATATAATAGTGGTACAGTATCATAACGTATTGCAATTCTAGTTACAAGGCATATTGTTAAAATGGCACTGACAATAAGCAAATTGCAATTATTTAAGTAACATAACTTCTTCTGCAAACAACTAAATACCCGGGTATATTATGTGAAAGATCTAATCACAACTATAATGTTTGAAAAAATTCAGTCAGATATTTTTTTTTCCAAATTGCTCAACTCTAATACAGAAGCTTGCTATTTGAAATAGTAAAATGCCTTTTCATGTCTGAGGTATATTATAATATGGCATACATATCTCAAAAGAGTACAGAATGTAAAATTTGTGTCTGTTTTTTTGTTTTTTAAATTTTACAAAAATACATCCTCATTGGATCATATGATGTAATATTTAAGAAAGCTGATGAACTTCTCATTCAACACAATGAATGTGCAAAGTCAGTACATGGATGTTCATGTATTCTGTATGCATATACTGTCGCTGTACTGTAGCTGCTGTGTGCTGCTGCTGCTGCTGGCCTTACACAGTCAGCTCATTTCAACCCTGGCTATTTTTAGCTCTCCATGATTGAAACAGGGTCCCGAGGGTGCTCAGAGCAGAGAGTAGGCAGGGGAGGAGGGCTGGAATCAGGTACACAGTTTGTCACCAAGACAATGGCCGTGTCTCCAGAGCATCATGTTGAAGTAGAGGACAGATAGGCGCTTGACCACACAGTACACCCTGAGGAGAGTAGAGTGCTTCAGTAACCGAAACCCACAGCTTAGATGATTGTGCAGGCTGTGAATATACACCACATGGAGGAAATATCATTCATTTGTCATTATTCTATCTTACCACCGTTTTCATACAGCATCCATTTGCATCCATCTTTGAAATGGGGTTAATTTAAACAAACCCTCCATGATATTGTTTTAGCTGAACAATTTTCATGATAACGTTTGCATTGTTATCTCCTGTTAGTATAAGACATAGGCTTCAAGCAATAACAGGAATGTCAATGTTTTAAGTACCGTACATTTTCAGTACAGGCTGCCTGAGTAACATAACTTGGCAGAAGCATAACTGTATATGTGGACCTGAAATCTAGGAACTCTCATGACTTTGGGGACTCACTATTGGAAAAATGTAACCAGTAAACCACAAAATTCATTTCAGACAAAATTTTTTACCTGCTATTCTTATCAACCTAAATGTTTTCAAATTGACAAGGTGTGGGGTAAGAGTGTACATTGGAGTAACAATGTGTTTAGGTTTTTGTTTTTGCTTACTCCATACATGAGCCTCGATAATTCCTTGTGTTGTTTGGCTGCAAGTTGTACCTCTATCAGTCTCAAAGAAGAAAAGAAAGAAATCGGTTGCTCATTCAATATTGATGAGTTTTGTTGGGGCTAATGCAATAATAAAATATAACAAGCCTTCCTCCCTTTCAAACAAGGTAAAGTAAAAAGTTGGAAAAGAGAATAGCGCCTTAAACAAGAATTTGAGGCAGTCATTTAAATGAGATTGATATCAGCCTGTAGTTGTCTTTGTGTTGCTGCCAGTGCAGTGTGAGGCTCCAGTTCATTTGGGTCCAAGGCAGACTGGCTCCACTGCTGCATCTACAGGAAATACAAACAGAACCAGCACTGGAATCCTCTCAACATAATCCCTGTGCTCTGGACACATCAGTATGCTCTCTCTGTGCCGAGGAGAAGAGACCGGGAAAATAATTTGTCTCTTTACAGTTTCCAAACATTTGTACTGCAATCACAGATTTTCCAAATGGCTAAAATAATTGATTGATACAGATAGTGTTGTTAACTTACTGTAATTTATTTTAATTAGTATCCACAACACAATACAAAAATGAATTTTACTTTTGCAGTAGGATATCTAATCACATCTTTATATGTTTGCCTATATAATTTTAAGTAAAATTTTAAGTAAATTTGAACATTTTGAAAACCCCATAGAGAAAGGTTTGTTGTGAAATTATACATTCAACTAGCAGTCCATCTAGCTGTTCGCTTATATGGTTGTTATTTAAAAGGACATTCAAATCTTAATGTTATTTTTTCCAAAGCTACATCATAATTAACTCTCTTTTGCATTCTGCAAACATATTGTGTCTGTGTGATAGTATAACTTTACCATATTTTTTTATTGTTTGTTAATTCACATTTCACATTGAAGGAACTGGTGTGTGAAAAAGTGTTTTGGTTCCAGAGCAGTGTTCTGAACACGAAGCATGTCATTTTCTGTGAAAGGCTTAAAACCAACTGACAGCATGGATCTATTTTGGTGGTTTTAGGGCAGTTTTGGATCTTTACTTGGGAGCTAGTCAGTCCAGAAGAAATCAGGGTGAATTTTGTAAAGGTCAAATGGATAGGGATATGATTTTGCTTGTAGTATACTACTGGACAATATTAACTACTAACAAAAAATGTGATTGCTTATTTGGATGTTATGTTTATGGTTTAATTATTTAGCACAGTTTATTTTCCCTATGTCAAGACATTTTAAAATGAATTAAAGTTTAATTCCTTGATTTTTAAAGCTAACAACACTAAACGAACCAAAATCATTTGTTTAAAAGATATCTTTGCTTCCAGTAATGTCTTGTACCTTTCTCGCATTTATTATTCATTTGTTTTTGTAATAGGCTCACCGTCTAGCCGGCAACATCCAAAATCCCTTCACCCGTGAGATAAATGATGAACATAATCAAAGCATTAAGCCAAATTTGTCCGGCAAAGACATTGGGTTTGCTTCTCTCAGCTATTTCAGAAGAATTATGCTGCATAGGAGAAAAAAAGTGGGACCTTGGATGCTCCTTTTACCCCGCCTTGTCGGCCGTCGCCTGAGTCAGCTTGTGCGCTCCTTGCCATAAACTGCCACTTTTCATTTCCACTTCCTCCACCACTTGGCCACTGGTCCCGTGCTACCCCTCTTTCACCCAAAATTTCCCATTAATTCTGTCTGGCCATTCCCTTCTGGACCCAGGCCTGCTCACCCCTCCCACCTCAAACCCTGATTGCCAAAGAAGTTGATTCCGAATTGCGTTTCTTATAGCCACCAGTCATCTTTGACAGCATCGCCCTCCATTACATTAAGCAACACAATGGATGCTCAGTGCATTTATGCTGACTTCTGACACATTGATCTCAAGTGCTTTTTTGCTGATACAGTAATGGTTCAAAGTGTTTTTGACTGCGCACTCTGACCCCAATCACACTTAAGCTAGTCCTCATATATTCTTTGTAAAGGGTATTCTCTGCTTGGATGACCCATATATTTCTCCTCCTAACATTGTCATTTGTGTGTATCTTTACAGACATTGGAAGCAGTGTTAACCTTCAAGTATTCAGGAGGAGCAGGCAAAGTAGAGGGATACTACCGTGAGCTGTCCCTGGGGGTCCATGTTGACGTGGAGCCTTCTGTGTTCTTCACACGAGTCAGTACGCTCCCAGCAACCAGGTAACACAGGCTTAAACATCACACTGTTGTAATTATTGATTCTTTGCAGTGACATCATGCTGAGTGTTTTACTTGTATGTCTAATATTGGATTGTTTATGGTGACACAAAATGTAAACACTGTCAAAAAAGTTTTAAGATTGTTAGAAAATTCAAGAAAAAAAATGGTAAAACAGTGATTAATATGAGCATTCATGGTCTTGTTTAAGTGTTTGGTTTTCAACAAAAAGGTGAGGGCGACTAACCGAAAAACTGAGAAACTCTAGCTAGCTTGTGATTGTAATGTTATGTGTGAGAGACTTGTTTAACAGCACACATAATCTCAGCAACTCACAAATCATCTCAGTTGATTCTTTCTAGTCAGATTGTGTTAAAATTAAGATCAGGTTAATGTCTAAAAAGGCTCAGCTGGAGCACTTAGCATCACAGGATCACACCCAGGGGACCATATCAGCTGCAATGTATCAACTGTGGTTTTCAGATTCTATAAGGTGATAATGTCATCTCTCAGACCAGAAGCCAGTTTTTCCAGTTTTTCCTATTGATTACATTGTACTTTTCAATAAAATACCCATAATGCAATCACAAATGTTGAACTTGATAATTTCTGTTAGTGACTATACCCTAAAACCTGCTATATAACAACAGAAATCTGCATTTTTAACAATAGTCTTCCTGCCCCTCATCTATATTAAATACTGTTGGCATTTAAAATTATATGATGTCACGTAATAAGAGGTTCTCTCAGAAAGAAAGGTGATGGAATATATATTATACTTGGATTTAAAACACTTTTAAAAATACTAAAACTCACCATTAACTTGAAACCCATTTATTCATAAAAATCCCTTTGCTTTCAAAGTCACATCATGGTAATGGGCTGATAATGGGGGCTGCTCACTTCAGACTCCACTGACTTGACGGACTATCTCTCCCTACCTTTTGTACTCAGGAATTTCAACTTTTGTTGCTCTTTTCACATAGTGCGTTGTGCGTATGGGCCACAACCTTAAGTTTTAAGTTGCCCCTATTTGCCTTTATGTGTACTTGGTAAACATTAGATTTATGTTGTTATTATATTTTCTATTTATTTCTCACAAAGGTGTAGAATCTGTATTGCCCCAGTCAACCCCAGCTCTAGAACTTAAAAAAATGGTAGGGAGACAAATTGTGTCCCAGTAATGGCCACTTGAGTTGAATCATTAGCTGCAATAATATCTGCAGTTTAAGCCATCCATCAGCGTGGAGTGCTGATAGATGCTGTTCTCTCTGCTGTACCGTCAGCCTGTCACTGACAGTCCCTTGTGCTTTACCTCCTTAGCCATTTGTGCCTCGTCACACTGACATACACTACCTATTGGCTCCTCACCAAATCTCCAAACACATCTGATGTGACATAAAAGCCCTGCTATTGCTGCCTGCTGCTCCTGAGGTTAAATCAAATATGTTTGCGCACAGGCTAAGTTGCCCTTTAAAGATACTGTCAAAGGTTACAGAGCCTTTAAAATGGCATAATATATTTACACCTATAGCAGCCATAACCATTTCTATCATTCATAGTCCTTTCACAATACAAAATTTTGAAGCATTATATATTTCTACATGAAAACATAACAATGAATGATAATACTTATATTACTTTATGCCACTGACACAACACGAGATCCCAGTAAACCAATTTAAATATAGACAGTATCATTAAAAGGCATGAGCTGCAACAAACAGATACATACCAACAATTAGACACACAGTTCCTATTTATGTATTGCAACTACAATAACAAAAATCTCCCCATTATTGAAAAGAAATTGCACACCTGATAAATAATGAGCCCCAAAAAAGATTACTCAAGCTTTCATATATTGAATGTCAAGTTAATTATTGTGACAGGCCTATTCTATCAATATAAATTAATTAAAGAATCTACTGGCATGAAAATATCATGATCTTCCTTTAAATCAAATAAGCAAACACCACTTTAATAATATTTAATATTGTATGATGATCCTATGAGTAAAAATATAATGTATCATATATCATATGTGAGGTAACCCTGACACTTGTTCAGCCACCCTTTTATTTTCGACAGCTCAGATGCATATTCTCAGGCTTTGTGCCAAAACAGTTTGTGGGAGGTCTCTTTGACATAGTCACAAGAGAGACAGATAAAACACACTCCACTTGTTGAGATAAGTACTATTGAATTTCTTTATGACTGCCAGTTAAAAGGGAATTTCTAAGTGGGAAAATGAAAGTGTTCAATAATATCGCATTTGACCTTTTCAGACACTTTATTCTTTCTCTTGTTTTGGTACGACCTTTTCTGTTACTGTATGTCATATTTACAAATATACACAAAGGGAAGTATATAGTATACCATGAGGAACATTTTTGGTGGTTATTTATTTATTTATTTATTTGTTCACTCACTACAGTTCTTTCTTACAGTTATAATAATTTATTTTTCAATTGAACTTTGTCATCAAATTATGGGAAGTAAAAAGTCCAACTCAAAATCTCCTGAATTCTTTTTCTTTGTTTCATTTTGTTGTCCTAAAATTCAGTAACTCCATTTTATATTACAATGTTGTCTTGGACCAATAGTTATTCAAATCATACCTACAATCTAATTAAGAATACAAAATGAATTATATGCCAGGATGCCTTTTCAAAACTAACAAGCAATATTGCTTTTCATTTCAACTCCTGATCATATTTCAGTTTAGCAGCCTTCTCATCCATCTCGGTCCACAATACCAATGCATTTCTATTTCAAATAAATGAAAACGGTTTTAGGGAGGGTATCCTCGGACAGCAATTGACCAGAGCACTCACCGCCAATCACCTCAGCTCCTCACTTGGCCTTTAAAACCACTGCTCACCCAGGCATGACACACTGCCACTGTGTTAATGGAGTGGAGAGGTAAGAGCTTCTCCACTGGGACAACTTATATTTGTTGGGTCAGAATCACAAGTGCTGTATAGTAAACTGTTTAGGAGGAAGTTACCCCCTTAACATTTGTCTCACACCTAATCAGCCTTTTTATTTATTTTTGCACTGCAGTGTAATGTTTCCAGTATTTTTAGTAGTAACAGTTATTTTTCTGTCTTTTTTTTTTATGGAAAAGGAACGCATTATGAAGTTGTGTGTGTTTATATATATATATATATATATATACACACACACACACACACACATGCACACAATTATACTGAAGGATTAGTTAAGTGCATTTTTTTATAGGCAAATTTTGTTTTTTCATTTTGTTTTTGTTTATGGCACTGAAAAACAGTTCACAAAACAGCAATGAAAAAACAAATGAAAAAACTATTAAAAAGACATCTGAAGTATTCTTGGAATTTTATTTCCATGGAATTATACTGACCTAAAAATATTCTCTATAATTAGCAGGTATGTCATCTTATCGTGTAATATTTGATCTCTACATTACCATATTTATTATTTTATCATTTAAGCCAGGTGGGGGGCTAGGGTTCTTGTTTTTCTGAATATTTAAGAAGTATCTTAAATCATCCAGAGCATAGCATTTTAAAACTACAAATTAGTGTACCACTGGGTATGCATAAGACTTTGGCATCATACTGGTATACCAAATGAAGACCTGGATAGAGGCATACCTACATTTTCGAGGAGTTAATCAGGCCATGCATGACTCGAGCCAGCTGCCACGGGCGACAGATGCAGCCACAATTAGCCATCCATCTTTATTGTGCCACTGAGCTGCTGCAGCCAAAACTAACTGAAACCATATTGCATCACTTAAACAGGCATCCAGCTAGATTTTGTACTTTCAAAAGGACTGGACACACTTTTCACTGGAACACCATATCCCAAAGTTACTGCCCTACATCAAAGAAACATGTTTTTAGTAGTAGTATATATAAAGTCAACACACAATTACATTTCTTACTTACTTATAAAGTCTAATTTGATTCTGCTTAATTTTTTATGATTGTTTTGACTAGTTGACAGAATTAAAATGTTCTTTTGCTTTTTTTCTTATTACATTCATTCATTGATTTTTAATTGTTTCCTTATGGATTTGTTGTCTTTTTGCTCCCACCAGAATGTATGAACATGCAACCTCAAAAATAACCAATTAACCAGTTTGTGTGACCAGTACCAAAGCCTGGGGGTGTAAGATCCTATTAGTTCTGTTCCACTCTCAGAACCATTCACCCTTTCACCCTGTGCACCTTTCCTCTTTCAAAGCGGCACTCCTATCATCTCCTTCTGTCTCATATACTTTTCTTGGTGGCTTTTGACCGCTTGTGACTTCTTGCACAGAGCTACTCTACATTTAAACAGTTCCTTCTAAAGCACGCTGGAAAAATATGTGAGGTAAGGGCAGAAATAGTTGTCATTATTACTTTAAATGGGAAAAAGCTTTAAATACAAACAACTATCAGTACCTGTAACTTTCAGTTACAGGTATTGAAATAAATGTTATTTGTTTCTGCATGTTACCAACTTAAGTAAATTGGCAATGTTATGAATTTGTCTATAATCTTTCTCCAATGACTTAGAAATCTATAGATTCATCAAGTGTGCTCATTTCAGTGGAGCGCACACATTTTGAACATAGAATTGATGGTAAGTACATAAACTCAGATCGAGGTTAAATGCATCAAAAGTATGAATTTTTTTACATTTTCTCTCCACAAACTCAGAGCAACTGCTACGTCTATCCACTGCTCCAGCTCCCTCACCCATTTGACCTGCTCTTCTAATGTTTATGACACAATTGAGTGGCTATCTTCTGCACGCAGTAGGGGTCTCTTGCGGGGCTTGGCTGGATGTTCAGGTGGCAGAATTGCTCAGGGAAGTGACAAAGTGCCAGGAAGTGTGAAATAGTCAGTGATCCATATTTTACACAGAGCCGTTAAAGTCCCATTCTCAACAGTGTTCTCTTACTCTGGAAAACCCAATTGCACCTCCGGGACACATGAGCACAAATGCAGTGCTCGTGTCCTTAGCATCATTAGCTGAGAAATGCAACGCTTGCTAGCTTTTGCTCTCTCTTTTTTTTAGCTCTTGAGGAACATCTTTAGCTCATTGACCTTGGAATGACCTATAAATATAGTATTGGACGGAAAAATAATCAAACCCATCTAATGTCGCTACTAATTTTAATTCAATTTAGATAGGTCTTCTTGTCTGAAAGTTCCGCTTTAAATCATAAGCACCAAAGTTATGAACATTCAATTCAATACCTGACTGCCCGTTGAAACAAGCTCTTTGTGGTTGGATTATGCATGCTTTTCCCTTGGTTTTCAAAACAACTGTTTTGTACAAATTAATGCACAGGCAACAGTGTAAATGGACAATTTAAGAAAAAAAAATCTAGCCAAATTAGCAACTCAACTGCCATGCTAATAAAAACACAGTTGTAATGAATTAAATTTGATGGTAGAAATGCTCAAGGTAGTCAGGTGATGAATTATGGACTTAAAAATAAAAAATGTGTAAGGTTTCTATCTTTGACATCACAATCCAAGGAAAATCTAATTAATTATGTTGGGAGCTCAGAGCAAGACTCATTGTAAACAGGATTATTGAGAGAAGGATGAATGAAGCAAAATACAACTCATCAGGTAAAAATGTTATTACATTGTCAAAAGCTCAAAAAAAAAAAAGTCATATTTGCATAAGGTGAAGCTGACATGAAACTTCCCTGGACCAAATCTCTCTCTTTGTGGATCATCTTTGCAGTGAATTGGAATAGAGTAATAAAATAATACTCGTACTGTCACAACACCATTGTAGTAATAATAATATTAAGAATAATAAGAATAAGAATAAGAAGAAGAAGAAGCAACTTTACTTATTTTATTTACAAAACACTCCTAAATGTCTACCACCATGCAGTTTGAATCTGCACAGTCAGTAACACAAAGAACAAAATAAGACCTCTTGACTTTTAGCCAAGAGCTAGAGTGATGTATGAGGAGTCAGCTTTGTGTGCTAAAAATAGATTCACATTGACAGATCTGTAAATCCAGGCCTGCTAACTAAAGCCATTACTTCAGCCTTGCATGGGCTATGTCACGTTTTGTCTGTGTCTGGACGCTAAATCAGCACCTATTGATTTAAGATTTGCTCGATTGACTATACTGTGGGCTTATACCATTGATTGCTTTTTTTTGCCCACACATTCATTTATGTGTAATAACTAGTGTAACAAAAGTGGAAAGTAAAAACATAAATGCGATACATTTAACACAAATATAAAAAGTGTTATCTCATGTGTCAGAAATGAAAAGGTGCTAAAGTTCAGGAATATGTAGGTTTTAAACTAGACGAAACTGTCACATCCCTAAAGAAAAAAAATCGAACTCTATCGAAATAATATGATTATTTTCCTCTTGTAATAATATTGCTATTTTACATAGTCCAATGAGGTTCATTTGGTCTTCTGATAATTTATGTTATTAGTTTGTTTGTTTTTTTCCAACCAAGAGTTTGTTTTCACAACTGACAGTTTCGACTGCTCACTCGCAGTCTTCCTCGGAGTGGTCTTGTGATGTTGCTGTGATATGGCCAGTCAGCTGATTTATACAGATTTTGGCACTGTCTTCCTACTGTTGGAGGCAGGATGACAGCGTCATCTGCAGTCCGAATTCCTCAGGACAGAATCCCAGGTGTGAAAGAGTAAAAAAGCCCCCTCGTCCCAGTTTATTGGCCTGTGGGCACATTTCCGTATTTCTATTGCCTCTTTAATCCAGTGACAATGTTTGTTGTCCACTGCCCCAATGATGTTTGCTCCATCCCAGTCCATAATGTGGTTCTCTCCTTTACAGTGGTTAGAAATGGCTGATTTGAGTAGTTCCTGTTTTGCTTTGTGTTTTGTTGCTCTTGTGCACGCTTTCGCTGTTTCCTTCTCACATTCTGTCCAGTGTAATTTTATATACATTGATTGATTTTTGATACATCATTTGGCTCTAACAGCAGTTGTGCTTCTGCAGTTTTCTAGTGAAATAAAAATGCTTGAGTTTAATTTCAATTTTTTATACAGTTTTCTTTAAGAAGCAAATTGCTCGATAAAGAGTTCTGCAGTATAAATCAAGGGGGCAGGTGTTGTCTGGGAAAATTATTTCTCTTCCCTTTGTTTTATTCCCCTTTACACTCTTTTAAATAGAAATGTTTAAATTTGATCTTACAACTTTACATTGTTTTGTAGAAAGCCAAATTGTTGGTCCACTGCAAAACTATTGGGATGCCACTGTTGTATTTATTAACTAGTCTCTTATCAGCAGTTGTGGAGGCAATTGTTGTTCCAGTTTCTTTAGTTTATCTGTAGTACTTAGCGTATGAGCTATGAGCCTGTGCTTCCTAACTGGGTGGGCTGATTGATCACCTCCTCTAGCCTATAAATCAGTTGCACGACCCACTCAGTCCATTTATCATGTCCGCCAACAGAGACAAGCAGACAATTAACCAAACATGGCTCGCATTTCAAAATATGCTCCTTTAATTGTCAAAGCAGTTTATTGGAGATGAAGCCTGACGCGACTTTTGCCTCCATTAACTCTGACATGTAAACAGCTAATAATAATAATAATAATAACAATAATAATAATAACAATAATAACAACAATAACAACAACAACAACAACAATAATAATAATAATAATAATAATAATAGTAATAATGCATCAGTTTTATATAGCGCTTTTCTGGATGCTTTACAAAGCATTATTCATTCACTTGATACCTGGAGGTGGTAAGATACTACTTTAGCCCAGCTATCCTGGGGCAGACTCACAGAAGTGAGGCTACCAGTTTGTGCCACCGGCACATTATTATACTCATACTCGTATCGGTTTTCTAAAAACGTGTTATTGGTGCATCCCTAGACACAACGACACGACGACACAAGTACCAACCAGGCCCAGCCTTGCTTAACTTATCTGAAGGGATCAGGCTTTAAGAAACTGGTATGGCCACAATGACACCTCACAGTCTAAAAGTGTTTTTTCTGAAGTTAGAATTATAAAATGGAAGGGAGTATTTAAACAGACCACTGCATAGATTTACCTGTGAGAAATGACTGAGCAAGCCTATATCCACTCTCAATTTTTTGTCAGATTGAAACACAAATGGTGGACTTGTTATTTTTATGTTTATTTTTTTTAGGGTTATTTTTTCTTTTTTTATTTAATATGTGAAATCTATGCTTATCCCCAGAATACAGTCAGCTCAGAAAAGATGTATGAAGCCTTCCAGAGTAGTATATTTTCTCTCATTACTCAAAGAGACGCTGGTCATGTTGTTTCATACGTCAGCATCCATGGCTTTTATCATTCATTACCAGGATGCTAAACAGCCTGTTGGGGACTTAAATGAAGTCTTTGAAAAATCTGCACGCCCTCCTGGACCTTGATCTAAATCACAAATTGTGGCCTGTGCTGTGATCTGCATGAGAAAAGCAGGTCTGGATGATGTGGTGATGGCCTGCTCCAGCCCAGTCTGTGCAGGATGAAAGCGCCGCCATCTTTGATGTCAAGACAATGACTGATGAGCGCCTCACACCACATCCTTGCCTGCACTTTGCATATTCAACTCTTTAGCTATGATATATTTAGAAAGCTATTGTCAGTCATGCATAAAATATATTCACACTAATAATCCCACCTATAAATGTACTCGTGAATGAATGGGCTTCATTATAAAGGATGCTCCATCATAACCAATGTTGAGGTACCATATGACAGCTTGTATAACTGATCCACAGTTCACATTAGAAGAGGCAAACAGATTACTAATGGTCAATGAGCAGCTGAAATAATGCACTATTTGTGTGTTTTTGCAGCACGCGCCAGTGTCACCTGCTGCTGGACATCTTTAACCCCACAGAACACGAGCTGACTGTGAGCGCCAACAACAACCAGGAGCTGGTACTGCATGCCAGCCAGTGTCAGAGGTCAGTGGACTTTTCTCTTCTCTTTCTTTTTCTCTTTCTCTTTCTCTTTCTCTTTATTAATAAGACATCAATTCCTTCACTGCTATTTATATTATGTATTATATGATCTAATTTATTTTCATGCCACTGATTCCATAAGAGGGTTATTCACATAACGCCTTATAGCTTGTTTAAAGTTTTACTGTAGTTCATTATGTAATGTGCAACAGTGCCCTACTATACATTTCTATAATAAAAAATATATGTCAACTCCTGTAAAGGTCATACAAGCTCACATGTCACTTGTGTAATTGATGTCAGAAAGTGCGTTGTTATGGAAGCCAAGTGAATGTGACACAGGGTGCCTCTGGGCCCCAGTGTCATACACACGTACACATACACAGTATATAGAGAAATGTCTCTGACTGACATTCCTCTCAGACAGAGCGCTTCTATTGGGCCTTTACATATGACTTTATCATGTCAACATTAGCTTCTCATGGTGGACACTTCACGGGGAGACATCTGGATTTACACATTACACAGTACCACAGTGAGGCCTGTAAAAAAACACTAAATCGAGTGGTTAGTACTAGGGATGGGCATGATTAATCCATTAATCGATAATTGATCATTAAGAATTTCATCAATTACGTTAATTTTAATCGACAAACCGAATGCAGGTTGCTGTGCGTAGCGTGACCAAACAGGGGTCCGTACATGTATCTCTCTGCACTCAGAAGGAGCGAGCAAACACAAACAGTCGGTCAGTCTGCAGCGTACCGAAGCACAAATGCGTATTTAACGATGATTTGTACAAGAAATTCCACACTTTCCGTTGCGTTCGTGACAAGTGGAGTCTATGTGGACAGTGTACAAAGCAGGAACATATGTTTCGGGGTCCAGTGGGAAAAAGCTTTACCAGGTGAGAGTTGCTCAATGTCGATGACGAGTCCCCATCTCCCACCTGCCGTACGGTGTCCTGGTTTTGACAAACGCAAATATGGTCATACTAACCTGTATTCCACTGAATCATGTCTTTTAATCCGACAGAAATTGACCGCATCAGTGCACAAGAGCTGTAGTTTTATCTTCGCTGAGTTTATGCAAATTAGCGATGCGGTTTTAAGTTTAGTTTCTGTGAGAGTTGCGCAAAACTGAATTAAACACATTATAATGTCAAACGGACTGATGTGGCTCATGCTCGTGAGTCGTTAGGGTTTATATGTCGTAAAGTTGAATTTATTATATGCAGATTAGTAGTGCAGATAGTAATAATAATGATGATCATTTTAATATAAACATTAATGATTAATCGATAATCGATCGTTAATTCTTCCGACGATCGATTAAGAAAATTTCATCGAATGCCCATCCCTAGTTAGTACTAACTCTTATGCACAGCACAGAAATTGAATTTCTCTAGAGCACTTACTGCCAACTGAGTCCTTGTTATCTTGACGCACGTCATCAGAGGTATAATACTCCCTTCAAAGGAAGCATAGGCAGACTGTACAAGACTGGAATGGACAATATCTTAATGTCTTGAGAGTTCATACTAGAGCCCTGCACTGTTTTGCCCCGACACAAAACAGTGCGGCGCGGGACACATTTTGATAGCTCATTGCGGGCATGAGCGGGAACGGGACTGCACGATGCGGGTGTGAGTGGGTGGGATGACAAATTTGCAGTCCCGCAAACTAAATATGAGAGTAAAGTAAAATTGGCAAATGATGAATGTATGCCTATGATACATCATTTGTGCTAGATATTGTCTTTGACATTAATAAAAACATTTTAAGCAGCCTAAATTTGCAGATGTGGTCTAATCTCGCACACATTTTAGACAATTCCTTTCCACTTTGATAGAGCTTAAGAAAGCAGCGGGAATGGGCGGGAGTGGGACTGCACAACGCGGGTGCAGGCAGGAGTGGAACTGAAAATTCTGTCCCGTGCAGACCTTTAGTTCATACCTCTGAGTGCTGGGTCCGCACTGATGATAAATAAATTTCTCCTGCATTAGAACTCCATTAGAATGCCTCTTGGTAAATGGTCACATTTTATATAGCTCTTTTCCACCTTCAAGGCACTCAAAGCTCTTTACAACAAGGAACCACTCAGCCATTCACACACACATTCATACACCAGTGTACTAGTTTTATGTCGAGAATGGGATTCGAACAGCCAACCTGAGCTACTGTCGCCCCTCTTCTCTTCAATTCCCTACAATTTATTCTACTACAGTAACGTAAATAATGCTGTAAAATTTGTGTGGTACAACGTGGTATCAGATCTGTGAGTAGGTAGTGTAGAATCAGTTAGCGTCACTCAACCATCAAAGGTTTCAGTGTACAGTTCAGTGTAGAATAGCAGCAGTATTTAACATACACTGGAATCATAGACCTTGTTGTGACAGATTGACTTGTTGTGTGTCCGTCTAAGGGAGCATATTGTCCCTGTCTCTTCAGCTCTGCATCTCGACACATCACATGGCCCTGTCATTTCACATTTTTGTCCTGTTACATGATGAATGAGGTGTCAGGCGCGACATGTTTTGTGGCGTTTCATCCAGGACTTGCGAAGGAAGCTCTTATTGGAACAGTCAATAGAAATGACTCTGTCAATCACTTTCACACAAACAAGATTGGTAACACGCTACACTGAAAGTATCTGTGATAGTTTTAGCTGTGCTCAGCAGATAAATAAGAACATGTCAAGTTACTACAGTGGATGCTCATCATTTCTCTAGGTTGTTCGGCATTGTGTGATCCTGTAATCAAATTATATGTGAAGCAGACTGGCATTGGTTAGTGTTTTTCTTGTGTTTTGGTGCACTGAAGAGGGAAATAGTCCAAATATGCTTGAATGGAATGGAGTAGTTAATGTGAATGGACAGAGTGCTAAAGGCCAGCCGGGTGATCCACTGGAGCAGCTTTCATCTTCCCATAGCATTCACAGACATGTCTTTTACAAGGTCTTTATCCTCTTGATGCTGAATGAAACATAGCCAAGCATCACAGAAGGGGAATGGCCACTTTGATGTTTTGCAGAGCACCCTGTTTCCTAAGGATACTGTTCTCAAACCTTGATTATAAAACACAACAAAATGACTAATATATATTTTGATAGTTGAATAGTTTGTCTTTTTTAATCATTGTTATTTGGAATAAAATATTAAAATCCTGGCAATGAATCCTCCTCAGATAATTATTTCTTCCTAACTGCTTTGAAGCACCTTGATGTTGCAATGTGGTCCAGTCTCCTAATGGTCAGCACTCTGCATAAACAGCTCACAAATGAGGCCCACTCCCCATGATTTCTTTTATGCTTTGAGACAAGCAGAAGTGGCTCTCTACACTGCACACTGGCCTGACCTTTCTGCCTCCGACTCTTTTCCTTGTAATGAGCAAATTAGGTTTGGAGCGAGAGAGCGAATGGTTTTGTTATCCCTGAAATAAAAACCAGATTAGCTGTCTATGTTGTCGGCCTCAAAGTCGTGTACATTCTTAAACAGTTTAATCACGTGGGAGTCAGCACATGTTCGTTATTATGAGACACTGTGGTATAAATATTGGAGCAGTAATTATCAAAATTTAGGAGTTGACTTGTGCTTCAATTGTTTCACTGTCAGGTGTAAAAAAATATAACCATAGGGAGAATTTTCTCTTCCACCAACCATTGATCTCCCACTCTTACAATTCTCTACATCCTATGAAGCTTGCAATCCAATTCATGCTATAATTTTATTCATGGCATTTATTAGAGCCTATCTTCAAGTCCGTTGGCTTGTTCCCATAGCTTTCCCAGACCTCCCACAGTATGATACAAATCTTCTTTGCCAAGGTTAATGGCTTCATTACCAAAACAGTGCATTTAAATCAGATTTTTAGATGAAATTGTCAGACATTGCTATCAAATGAAAACATAGCATATCTTTGAAATAACCGCTTACTTGCGTTGCCAAAAATGGTTTATATTCACAGAACAAAAAAAACAAAAACAAAAAAAACAGAACACCACACAAGGATATTACCTTGCCCTCTAAATATGAGAAGCTGTTTGGACAAGACCTGACCAAACTTTAACCTATTCCGTACATAATAAATACATGTGATATGTCATCTCTAATACTCGTGATATAACAACAAATTTTTTCCACTGAACATGAAATGTGTTTAAGGATTTGACTTGTTACTCTGGAGATTACTTTGTGTTATTGAGTTAAAAGACCCATATTACAGTATAATTTGATCTGTTTTAATGTTTTTTCCTCCTCCAAAACATACCTTTTGTTTTGTTTCATTCACACAAATTCAGCCCTGAAATTGCTAGTCTCTACTAAACTAAAAGTAAAAGTTAGCTGTCAACTTAAAACAACACTACATGACATCACAAGGTGGAACAGAGATTTTTGAGCTTTGGAGATGTAGACAGATATTATAAACCAGCATTACTCAAAATGTGTGAGTGAAAAAAAAAACACAACTATATTTTTGATACATTATAATATGGCTTAAGGCTCATTTGAGTCCATTTTCCAAAATATAGGACCTTTTAAGCAAAAAAAAAAAAAAAAAAAAAAAAGAAGAAAAGCATACGACATACAAACTATTGAAAGTTGAAGTAAACTATCAACATTTAAAAATTTTGAGATAAACAAAACTGAAAACCTGTATTTACATTCATGTCTTTGGTAGTAGCAGAGCCCTACTTATATCCCTTCAGTGTACAGGTAAAGCAACCCTTCCCGCTCCAGCCTCCATGGGCTTTAACCATTCCTACCTTTGCCCCTCTTATCATGTGCAGGCCCTGGTATTAGCCATCCCAGAGCTGAATCTCTTCATTCACCATGCCTCTCACTGTGCACAAGGGCAGACGCACCCCATTGCACAAGCCTCTCAAACAACACTTGTTTCCATGGTGACCACCTTTCCCCTTTTTAGAGCTACTTTTTAGTCAGCAGAGCGCATAATGTAACTTCAGTCCATCTCACCATCTTGAGAAGCATTTTTTCAATACAA